ATTCATTGTCTCTGCTATAGTTGTCATATCTATTGCCGCATGGCAATTGCTGCCTTCGTTGACTCAGTTAAAACTTCTCATACTGCTGATGTTCTCTTAACCAATACTACTGTAGAAATGCTTCAACAGGCTCAGATTGATCAAGAGATCCTGACTCGCCTCTCTACGATTGAATCAGCACTTGACTAGATTGGCGAGCACCAGGGTGAACTACTGACTGCCAGCAGCTGACCTGTGATTCTCCAAGCTGAAGTAGAATTCCAGCCAGTACTCCTGGAGTGATATTGAACATCACCTAAAGGAGGCTTCTTCTACCAATTTAAAAGGACAAATTGATAAATTGCAGCTAAAATTGCATTAGCAGTCACAGGACATTCAATGCTTGATCAAGCAAGAGGTTTTTCAAACCCTCTGTGATAATCTCAATGATTAAACCCCCAAAATTGGTTCGATGGACTTAACCTAAGAGTGTGGGCCCTTGGAGCTGCCGATTGCTTATTGATTCTAATAATGCTCTGTATAATCACCGCATTTACAAATTATTTTCCCAGGGTCATATGAGAAACCAGCAAGTAGCAAGCTTTCTAGGCCTCGCTTCTGTAGCAGCCCTAACTAAAAACAAGGGGGGGGGGGGCGTGGATTATAAGGGACCAACCTGGACAAATGTAGCCCAGTATTGATCTGGAAAACCGATCAAGGCAAGGCAGCACACAGGAGCCAGGTGTGCAGATCGGCTTTCCCATGGGGAATCAGGCTTGCATTGTACCTACACTGCTATGAGACTTGCTTTTGCTAAAACTCCCTCACCCTGAGTTAAGACTGCAGATGTTTAATGTATATCTCTGAAGCAACTCTCTAAAGTCTGTGCTAAGATGCCCAAGGATGAAATGTAACCGAATCAATAATTTTTATCACTCCCTTGCTTTTGCAACTTTTTTCTTTTTTTTGTTATTTGTAAGAAATGATCACTTAACTAAATCTAGAAATAATGAGCACCTTCTTTGATGTAACATGACTGGAAAGCAATAAAAGCCTGTCTAGGCAAGGATCAGGGTGCTCTCCTCTTGAGAGTGACGTGCCATCCCTTTTTCTCCACAGGACTGGGTAGTCCATGTGAATTTGTGTACCACATCCACAACACACAGACTCCAGAGAGCCGGAGTCTGCATCACCATCCCCCCAAAAAATCATCTTTGCTAATGAAATACCTGCCCAACTGTGTATATGGTTGACAGTAGGTATGTTTCCAGAACAGCTATGGTTTAACCTAAGGAAGGAATAGGGTCTGTTCTGGCAGCAGCAGATCTTGGAATACCTTGGGCCTTTTGCTGACCTGCTCCAGATTCAGTACTGGTGGCAGCTGGCCACAATTCAGAGCTTGGCCTCTCTCACATGAACTGATATCCAGCAAAATCAGCTACCAATGATGGATCGATTTGCAATTTCTAACAGGCAGCCCAAGGCCAGTCACAGGCAGTGTCTGACATTTACATGCACCAGATTCCCTCCCAAAAGCACAGAACTAACAAATTCAATGGCTGTCTTCAGACTACCAAGCACCAGCCAATTAGCTCTACAAGCTATGCAACCCAAAAGGAGATATCAACAGGTACCTGTGCTGAGGTCAGTGTCCCCTCACCACAGCAGCTCTCATACTATGGTTGAGGGTGATCCTCAGAGTCAGCCAACCTGAGGGTCAACACCCATTAATGTGCCAACAGAAATTAAGGCTCAACTACAACAGGAGGGCACACATAATCCACACAAAGGAATTTGCTAGAGCATCTGACTTGGGTAATCAAAGAAACTACACTACTGAGCCCCTCAAAAACACCATTCTATCAAGACTGGAAAATGTAGCAAATATACAGAACCAAATACAGAGAGGCAGCCAAAGTGGGGAGAAGAAGAAACACATCCCAAACAAGAGAACTCCTCAGAAAAAGACCCAAATGAAATGGAGAAAAACAATCTACTAGATACAGAATTCAAATCAATGATTATAAGGATGCACAAGAAATGTAATTCAGAACTTCAACAGCATGAAAAGGGACATAGAAACCATTAAAGAGATACAGTCAGAAATGAAGACTATAATAACTAAAAGAATACACAAGAGGCAGGGAACTTCTGGTCAAGACGGTGACATAGGACCTGGCTGGCGTAGCTCAGTGGATTGAATGTGGGCCTGCGAACCAAAGGATCGCGGTTCAATTCCCAGTCAGGGTACATGACTGGGTTGCAGGCCAGTTCCCAGCAGGGGACGCGTGAGAGGCAACCATACATTGACATTTCTCTCCCTCTCTCCTTCCCTTCCCATCAATAAAATCTTAAAAATAAATAAATAAAAGATGGTGACATAGGTAAAGATGGCTCACTTCCTCACACAACCACATCAAACTTACAACTAAAATATAGAACCGCCATGACTCAGAACTATTAAATCAATTTGAATGGAAGTCTGACAACTACGGAATTAAAGAAACCACACCCATCTAGACTGGTAAAAGAGGCAGATATGTAGAATGGGTGGGTCCCACATTCAAGTGTGGTGAATAAAAATTTGGGAGGGATATCTTGGGAGCAAGGGGTCACAGCCCTATACCACAGGCCCCCCCCAGCCCAGGGTTCCAGTGTCAGGAAGATAAGTCCCCATAACTTTTGGCTGCAAAAACCAGTGGGGACTCAGTCAGTGGAAAAAGCTTCTGTAGTCCCAAACAGTTCCTCTTAAAGAACCCAGACACAGATTTACTCAGACTCATTCTCTCTGAGCTCCAGCACCACCATAGCAGCTTGAAAGGCACCAGTGGCAAACAGGGAGAAACTGAAGTGTCTCGCACCAAGGCAAGAGCTGTAGAACACCTTTCATCCAGACAGAGGCCTTGTCCCTTTTCTGTACCCTTTCCCCACACAGCCACAGAGTCAGGAGGCAGTTGCCATATCTGAGACTACCATCAACCTGGCTAACACTGTTTGTCCTGCCCTGCAAGTCCCCTGAGACTCTGTTCTACCTAGCTTACTGGCCTTCCCAAACTGTTAACAGTGACTTTTCCATATGAATGGCTGGTGTTGGCTCCTTCATCACAACTTCCTAAATCCTATCAAACGAGCAACAGCTAGCCTCAGTAAGCCCTCAGCCCTCATACTTCTTGCTAAGTAGCACCAGGCCCAGCACTAGCAGCAGCCAGCCTAGGTTCACAGCTTGGCTTCTCCTGGGAATCTCTAAGTCCAGCACAAGTAGCAGCCATCCCAGATTGCTTTATAGTGTTGTAGACGATCGGCGGGTAAATATACACTCTCGGAGTCCGGAACCGAATTGATAAAAATTTTAATGGCCAAAGATTTTCCTGCGCAGGGGCGAACTTCCCCAACTGTGACCGGAGTCACGTAGCTACTCAGAGCTACAAAATGGAAGTCGCGCCTGGCTTACAGACTACTGGGTATTTATATTTTCTAGCAAGCAAGCAAAGGCATACAGAAGCAGAGGTGGCAGTTAGCTATTGGCTTATTTAAAAACAGCGAGGGTCCCTGATTGGTGGGTGCTGCTGCTGCTGGCGGGCACTTTCTGGCGGGCTGGGTTAGTTACCTTATTTGGCTAGAATTTTAAACCCAATTGTTCCCGGATGTTTGTTCATTACCCTGTTCCAGGAACTGCAGATTTAGGGTTGGGTAATGCTCTAGCTGTAATTTTCCTAGCTGGGTATAACAATAGCTCATGCAGGGAGGCCTGAGGCAGAACACGGACTGGGGCTGACCTTAGCTTATACCACCCAGGAAACCCCAGAGCCTACACACCCAGTGGACAGCTACAGGCCACGCTGGAGCACCAAAACCTGACCCCTGTACAGCTTAGATACTCCATGGAGGTTGGTGGTCAGTGGTCACAGCCAGTCCTTGCAGCTGACTGGCCAGGGTAAATTCCTCCCACTGATCTGCCAAGAGCAATCAAGGCTCAACTGCAAGAGGAGGGTGTACTCAGCCCACCTGAAGGTGCACCTCAAGTACCCAGCTTGGGTGATAGGGAAGGAATTATTTGGAACATAAAGAAATGAAAAACAACCAATCGGAACAAGAATTTAAAAAAATGAGGATAGTGTAAGCAGCCTCTGGAACAACCTCAAATGTTCCAACATTAACATCATAGGGCTGACAGAAGCTGAAGAGAAAAAGCAAGAAATGAGAAATTTATTTGAAAAATAATGAAAGAAAACTTTCCTAACTTGGTGAAATAAATAGACATGCAAGTCCAGGAAGGACAGAGTCCCAAACAAGATAGATGCAAACAGGGCCACTCCAGGGCACATCATAATTAAAATGCCAAAGATTAAATATAAAAAGAGACTCTTAAAAGCATCAAGAGAAAAGCAGTTAGTTACCTTCAGGTTTTCCATAAGACTGTCAGCTGATTCTTCAAAAGAAACTTTGCAGGCTAGAAAGGATTGGCAAGAAATACTCAAAGTCATGAAAAGCAGGAACCTACAGCCAAAGCTGTGCTCTGGCCCGCGGAGCAATCAACTGGAGCTCGACCACCTACCTAGAACAAATGGGTTGGGGGGACAAGAGCGCGAAGAATGGCAGCAAGACAAAAAATTCTGATCAAGCTGCAAACTTTATTTTTCCGAACTGGGTATATATATATAGGGGAGGAGGGAGAGATTAGGTTGCTTGCTATTGGCTAGCCTGAGACAAAGAAGGGCCCGCTTATTGGTTACTTGGGTGCAACTGGTACTCGTGGACACCTCATGTGCCTGTAGCCGATTGGCTTGTGGAGCGCACAGGTTCCTGTAATCAACGCAATGTTTTTAGCTAGAAGCCAGGTGTAAGGTTCCCAACATCTCCTCCCCTTTTTATTACTTTGAGGGTGAGGAGAATGTAAGTAGGGTAGACTTTAACCGGCTGGGGGAGGCAGAGGCCTGACTCCTCCTGGGCTCATTCTGAGCTTTAGGGTACCTTTTGGGAGGAGAGGAGTTGGGTACCAACCTCTTTGCAAGTCAGCTTACCTCTCAGGAGACTCGAAGTGGCCGTATGTGCAGTCCTCTCCTTGCAGTGCTTTGCCTTGCACCCAGCGGTGTCTATCACAGCTACTTGGCTGTGAAGCATATCTTCGAGGGTTATGCTGCTCCTGCAGGAGGGGAACCTGGCAGGAATCGTGGGCTAGCATCCCAGTGGCTGTACGGCTCAGAGTCCGCTCCATGTGGCTCAGAGTCTGCTCCATGTTCTAGCATTTCTAATTGTTGATAGTGCACCTGAATAGGTCTTCCTAGTACACTGTTAAGTTGGTCTTTGACTAAGTTGGTTACACGTCTAAGAATCCAGGGGGCAAAGGAGAGGATGAGGGTGATAAAAACTAAAGGTCCTAAGATGGGAAGGAGATAGGGGAGAATTCCGTTGAGTCCACCCCAAAGGGGGTGTTCGGAAAGTTCTTTTCTTCTTTTTTCTAAGTCTTCTTGTAACTGTTTTATCTTGTCTCGGACGATGCCTGATTTATTGGCATAGAAGCAGCAGTGTTCCTGTAAAGCCAAACAGATACCTCCCTGTTCTGCAGTAAATAAATCTAGACCTCGTCTGTTTTGAAGGACAACTTCTGCTAGGGAGTCTACTTGGTCTTGGATGTCACTAATGGTACTGGACAGAGCCTGGACATCATCAATTAGTTGTTTAGAGAGCTTTGTGTATGAATGGACTGCGACTCCCAATCCTGCAGTCCCTGTGGCAACTGCTCCAGAGACGCCTAATCCAACTAATAAGGGTACGAATGTTAATGCTCTTTTTTGTTGCCCCGCAATATGGTCTAAGCTGGGAATGGGGACAGGCTCGTCTCCGGGGAGAACATCTATATCTGGTAGTAAGGTAGCCAAGACACATAGCCCGGTCCAGTTAGCGGGCAAGGCTGAAAAAGCCAGGTTGTTTCCACAAACGAATATTTGTCCATGACCTGGGCAAAGGGGGTTACTATAATTGGTTATGCTTCTACAACTAGTAAATTCTATAAAGCCGACAGGAATGTCGAAGTTATTATTTTGAGCTATGCCTTGTAAGCACGGGGAGGGTGGGAATATTGTAGGCTGGACTCTAAAAGGTAAACTAGGGTTACATTGTAGCTGTGATTTATTAAGGGTGGATATATTGACAGGAATAGCTAAAGGCATGGGGGTGCCTAGGCTCATACATAACCAGCAATCCTCGGCTAGGTGAGGGTTAGATATGTTAAGAGCTTGATGTGTGGCTATTAAAATGTCAGTAGTCTGGTATCTAGGTCTACTCCCCGCAGTTTGGGGAGAGCTAGTGGGTGGTAGGCAAGTTTTGGATATTGGCTGTCTATGAGATGTTCTATTTTGGAGCGGCATTCAGAGGCCCAGTGAAAGCCTTTTTTACATCGAGGGCACTTTGAGGGTGGAAGGCTTGGGGTAGGAGCGGTGGGGGCGGCAGTGGTTTGAGGGGTATTAGGAGTAGATGGAGCTTGAGTACGTAAGGGACAGGTTTTGGAAAAATGTCCAGGTTGCTTGCATGTATAGCAGAGTGGGCTGCGGGGTGTCTGGGGAGTATAATTTTGAAGGGCAGCCCCAATGGCAAGCCCGAGGGCATGAGCAGAGCCGATGCCTGAGCAAAGGCGAACATAATCGCAGAGCTCCCCCTGGTGATAAGGCCGGATGGCATCTTGGCAAGCAGGGTTGGCATTTTCAAAGGCGAGATGTTTTACAAAAGCACTTTCACTTTCTCCTGTGCCGAATAGGCGCTCTGCTAGCTCTTGTAGGCGGCTAATAAAGTCACTGTAGGGTTCATCAGGACCTTGTCTAATTTTTGCTAGGGAAGTGGTAGCGGCCCCTTTTTGGGGGAGGCGCTTCCAGGCTTTCAACCCGGCGGACTGGATTTGTGTTAAAAGTCCGGGGGGATATTGAGCCTGTTTTTCATTGTGTTGATATGGGCTAGTGCCTAGGAATTTCTTTAATGTCCACCTTTTGGAAGAGGTTTTACGGGCGTTACGTTCAGCGAATTGTTTGGAGGTCTCTTCGTAATCGCTTTTCCAAAGTATGAAATCGCCTCCGCTTAGGGCAGCTCTGGCTACAAAAAACCAGTCATTGGGTGTAAGCCACCGTTCACTAAGGTTTTCAATTAAGGCCATTGTGAAGGGGGCAGTGGGACCATAGTTGGCTACGGCCGTTTTGATTTTTTCTAAGGTTTTTAAACTGAGCCGCTTATAGGAGTGGGAGTATGAGGGATCGGAGGCAGAAGCCTCTTCCTCATCAGAGCTAGAGCCATTAGAATCTCGTTCATCCTCACTACTTGGGAGAGGGTGTTGGGAGCCATCGGTCTCACGGGCTCGGCTACTTGAGGGCACATCGGCTTGGCTGTTTGAGGGGCCATTGGCCTGACTTTGACTTCTGGTGATGGGGAAAGCGAGTAATTCAGTGGGGGTGGATACGGTCAAATCAGTGAATTCTTTAGCCACGGCCTTGTTTTCTCGAATGAGAATTAAGGCTTCTTGAATGGAGGTTTTTTGGAGAAGGGGTTTTTGGTGGGTTGTTGGTGGCTCGGGGTTGTTTAGAATGGGGGCCAGAATATGGGTGGCCGCGGGCAATAGGTTTGAGGGTGCATAGGGGGGCGGCCGAAAAGCTGGGAGATCTTTAAGTAAGGGGCAGAAGAGAGAGGAGGCCAGTCAAGGTTATTGTAAGAAGCTGCCTCTTTTTCGAGTTCGGCCTCTTCTGCTGGGTTTAATTGGTCGACATGGTTATTTGAGGAATTACGGGAAGGGTTAAGGGGTTTTTTAATCTCTTCCTCTATGTTAATAGAAATTGAGGGGGCCCTCGAAGGGGGCCGAGATTGATTTTTTGAAATTTCTTGTCCCTCTTTACAGAGATTTTGGGCTGAAGGGGGCCCTCGAGGGGGACCGGATTGATTTTTTAGAACTTCTTGTCCCTCTTTACAGAGGCTCTGGACATCTGGAGAATGCCCATGAGTGACTAAGATTTCTTTAATAAGATTAAAAAAACTGAAGGCGGTGATAGGGACGGTCTTGGGGCCAGAGACTCGATAATAGTCATTAAGGCAATCTCCCACCCGGTTCCAACACTGCGGGTCAATCGTCCCCTCTTGGGGACCAGGGGCATATTTTGAATATAAAGTCAAAAAATAAAACTAAATCCTTTTTCTTAACTCGAGTTCCTCGCACCTTGAGAGTTTGCTTTAATTGACTTATAAAAATATTTTGTGAATATGCTTGTCCCATGATTGGGCCTTACCTGGCCCAGTTCGCCGCCAAGGGGAGGGGCTCCTGGATCTGTCTCGCGGTCGAGTAGTCGCGGCGATCCGCGCGGGGAAGTCACTGGCGGGGACAGCGCTTTGTTCTGGCGGCTATCGGGCCCCCATATTGGGCACCACTTGCTCCAGCCCGCGGAGCAATCAACTGGAGCTCGACCACCTACCTAGAACAAATGGGTTGGGGGGACAAGAGGCGCGAAGAATGGCAGCAAGACAAAAGATTCTGATCAAGCTGCAAACTTTATTTTTCTGAACTGGGTATATATATATATATATATAGGGGAGGAGGGAGAGATTAGGTTGCTTGCTATTGGCTGGCTTGAGACAAAGAAGGGCCCGCTTATTGGTTACTTGGGTGCAACTGGTACTCGTGGACACCTCATGTGCCTGTAGCCGATTGGCTTGTGGAGCGCACAGGTTCCTGTAATCAACGCAATGATTTTAGCTAGAAGCCAGGTGTAAGGTTCCCAACAAAGCTGTACCTACCTACCAAAGCTATCATTTATAATCAAAAAGCAGATAAAAAGCTTGCCAGATAAGATAATACTACAGGAGTTCATCACCAAACCATTATTATATGATATTATAAAGGGACTTATTCAAGAAAAGATCAATACTATGACCAATAAAGTGGTAACAAATACATATCAACAATTCAATCTAAAAAACAAACTAAGCAAATTAAAAGAACAGAGAATCATGGTCATGGAGAGTGTTTTGAAGGTTGCCAGATAGAGGGGAAGTATGAGGAAATGGATGAAGAGGTATGGGGATTAAGAAGTACAAACTGGTAGTTACAGAATAGCCATGGAGATATAAAGCACAGTACAGAAAATAGAGTAACCAAAGAACCTATAGGGATGACCCATGGACATGAACAATAAATAGTGTCAGGACTGCCTGACATAGTTGGGTGAGCTAAGAGGAGGAGGGAAAGGGAGAAAAAATGGGGCAACTCTGATAGTATAATCAATAAAATATAATTTAAAAATAGAAGATGATGGCAAGGTAGGTGGGAGCAGAGCCCACTTCCCCCTGAGCACAGGTGGAACACCTAGCCAAACTTCCGAGGAACAGAGGGAACAGCCAATGCAATCCCAGCATATATGAAGGTTAGAGGTCAAAATTATAGAGGATGTTGAAAACAGATGATAAGGAGATTACTTTGGGACAGTAAGATCCTTGGGACCAGGACCAAATCAACAGCTCCCTCCCCTGCCTAACAGGGAGGACAGAGAGGCACCAGGATGGACCTGGATGCTTGAAGTGGCTGGGGAGAACAAAGATGAAGTGGGAGATGCACAGGGGCAGTGTTCACCCTCTGAGACCGTGGACGCCAGCTGAGTCATCACCAGCTGGGTGACACCTGGAGAAGGGAGAAGAGTTGGGCCCTGATGGACCCTGACCCAAAAAGTCTCTAGTCTGGCTGGAAAGTTGGGCTGTGGGAGAAGCCAGGAACTTGTTAGGACCAGCAGGCTTGAACAGGAGGATTTTATTGAAGAAAAGGCTCTCCGTCGCACTTTAGGGAACTCTCCCACAGCCGCCCCCCCCGTCACCCCAGCCTCACTCTGCCACCACAGCCGCAACCTCAGCTGCAGCTCCACCCCGAGTCCACTGGCAGTCCGGCCATGAACCCACCCCTGACACAGCCCTGGCAGCACAGCGCCACCTGCTCCTGTGAGGGTAGGCTCGCTTGTTAAGAGGAAGGAGGAGATGCCCCCCTCAGAAGAGAGCAGCAGGACTCAGGGAGTTAGCAGTGCACAGAAAGACTAACTCAGTGGGGTAGCTGAACTACCCTGAAGAGACTTCGAGAGTGCCTAGCATTTAGGAAAGTGGGGAGACGCTGGTATGTGAGTTGCCCCTAATTAGTGCACCTCAAAAATGGCACAACTGGTGGACTGAAGGCACCAGCCTGGTACAAGCAGTAGGGGCCCAGCAGGAGGAACTGGGCTGGAGGATGGGCAACTGTGAAGAGCACATCCCAGATCTGGCCTTTAATCTCCCAAAACCATAGGAAGGGAGAAAATCAAAGCCCAAGCCCCCTGGGCCTGCAGTATACAGGAAGACTAGCAGAACTCACTTGGCCAGTTTAAAGTCACCAGGAGACTTTTTTTTTTATTCTTTATTTTTCTTTTTTCTCCCCAAGTGAGAGAGAGAATAAGACCTGGAGCTGAGAAAGGTCCAGAGAAAGACCCAAAGAGGGATCACAAGCCTAATTTCAACAACTGAAAAGCTGAGAAAATTATCACTTTGCTATTCCAGAGAATTTGTATGTTATTGTCTATTTGTATTAATATTATTATTATTCCATAATTTTTACTTCTTTTATTTTATTAGTATTTTTAATTTCTCTTCTGTTTTGTTTTCTTTGGGTTGTTTGTTTACTTGCATTATTTGAATGGTTTTCCTTGTTCTCTCTTTCATATTATAATTTAATTTTCCTTCTTTCACTTCGTGTTCCAATGGCACACTACTCTAGGTCGTGTACTTCCTATTCTTGTTTACATCATAGTTTCTGTCGTAAGATTGTTGTTCCAGTACTACTGCAAATAATTGCTATTCCTTACAATTGTAAATACTACACAGCACCCCTCCCAGATCCTAGCCCATTTCACTGTCTTCCAGAAGTTTGTTACTGTTGTGGTTAACTCTATTCTCTCATACACTACGTCTATTTTCTATCCTTCACTCTCACTATATCTCATAATCTGACCTCCCACAAGCTCTCTGTTTTCTGGATTCAACTCACCGTCTTTCTCCCTTCTAACAAGAGTCTTATCTCTTTTAAACCCTTTCTTAAAAGTGGCTAGTTGGGTGAAATATAACACTTAACACTATACTTATCTAAAGAATCTCCTATCTCTTCTGTATGAGTTGGTACTTTAAATCCCATAGGATACACACCCACTGTTTTAATCCATTTTGCTTTCCCCCTCCAACTGATCACATAAAAGAGTAGATGGGAACTGTGAACACCAATATACCTGCTGGAAGAGAGAACCCACCGACAAAGGAACCACAACAGATAATAAAAGAAGATGGCAGAGGAGTGAATGAAAGCCACACTAGCCTTCACACAGGACCAATCTAGAATTACAACTAAATGGTGGAGAAATTATCTAGAACAAACAACTGAATAGCAAGACAGAAGTCTCATAACATCAGACAGAGAAAAGAACCAGCTTCAACACAAACTGTCCACATCTGTACAACAGCATACAAGACGCTGTGGGCAGAGTGAACCTCAGTCAACCAGCAGCAGGGAAGGACCCACCAAAGAAAGAGCCAACAACAAAGACTCAAACCAAAAGACATACAGAGAGCCAACATAAACAAAATGCCAAGAGCAGAAAGTTCAGGAGATCAAGGGGACCACATCACTGAATCTTACAGGTCTTCTACCATTAAAGTTCAGACCATAAATCCAGGGAACCAGAACAGAAAATTTGAAATGCAAAGGTTAACCAGAAGAGTCTCACAAATCCTGGGAAGACAAAGAACCAAACCCCAAACAAAAGGACAAAAGACTCAGAAAGAATGCAAAGTGAAATAGAGGCAAGTCAACTATCAGATATTGAGTTCAAAGCAAAGGTTATAAGGAAGCTCAATGAACTCACAGAGAATTACCAAAAACTACAGGGAAACTACAATGAACTCATTGCAAACTACATCAACATGAGAAAGGAAATAGAAACTATCAACAAGGGCCAAGAAGAAATGAAGAATACAATTTCTAAACTGAAGAACACAGTTGAAGAAATCAAAAGGAGGCTAGATACAGCAGAGGATCCAATAAGCAAGCTGTAGGACAAAGTAGAAAAAACTCCCAAAAAGAGCAAGAAAAGGAAAAGGGACTCACAAAGAACAAACAGATGTTAAAGGAACTGCAGAACAACATGAAACATAATATCCATATAATAGGGATACCAGGAAAAGAAAAAGAGCAAGGGATAGAAACCCTGTTTGAAAAAGGAATGATGGAAAACTTCCCTAATTTGATGACAGAAAAAATCACACAAATCCAGGAAACACAGAGAGTCCCAGTGAAGAGAAGCCCAAAGAGGCCCACTTCAAGACACATCATCATTAAAATGGCAAAACTCCAAGGCTGAAAGAATACACCTCCTCCAAACCAGCTCTACAAGAGATGCTAAAGGGACTGCCGTAAGAAAAGAAAAGAGTGAAAGACAGAAGAACACAAGTATGAAGGAAGTAAAATGACAATGAATAAGTACCCATCAATAATAACCTTAAACATAAATGCATTAACTGCTCCAATCCAAAGACATAGAGTAGCTGAATGGATAAGAAATCATGACCCACACATATGCAGCCCAAAAGAGACCACCTCAGACGAAAATACCTCCACAGACTGAAAATGAAAAGTGGGGAAAAATACTTTAAGCAAATGGACAGGAAAAAAAAGCCAGGACAGGATTTTTGGCCAAGATGGAGGCGTAGGTAGACACACTGTGCCTCCTCACACAACCAAAATAAGGACAATTTAAAAAACAAAAACAACCAGAAGTGACAGAAAATTGAACTGTATAGAAGTCTGACAACCAAGGAGTTAAAGACGACACACTCATCCAGACTGGTAGGAGGGGTAGAAATGGGGGTGCTGAGAGGACTCACGGCAAGGTGGTGGCTGGAGGACAGGGGTGGACAAGGCATCAGCTGGCATACCCAGCACCAGATTGTGGAGTGGGGAACACAAAGCTGCAGCTGACTGGCAAGACTGCAGTGTTGATGGTGGAGAGGTCAGTCCCACATTCATGTGCAGATAAACTGGGAGGAATAATTGGGGAATAAACCTCAAACCACTGATTAAAAAACTTGTGGGGGTTCAGGTGGCAGCAGGAGAAATTCCAAGCCTCACAGGAGGGTTCGTTGGAGAGACCCATAGGGTCCTAGAACGTACACAAACCCACCTGGGGAATCAGCACCAGAAGAGCCCAATTTGTTCATAGGAAGTGGGGAAAGTGGCTGAACCCTGGCAGAGAGCACAGCAAGCACCACTGTTCCCTCTCAGACCCCTTCCCCACATACAGCATCACAACACAGCAACGTGGTTCCCCCACACAGGTGCATACCTAAGACTCTGCCCCTCACTACATAATAGGCACATCAAGACAAAAAAAAAAAAATGGCCCAAATGAAAGAA